AATTGAAATTTTTTTAAAGAAAGATTTTCTTTACATGGGTACTATCTAATATAATCCCTATGCGCTTTTCATGGTAAACGTACCGCAGTTTAATAAACACTGCTTTAGAACACACAATTTTAACATTTCATAGGATTTATTTATGGAACAATCTACTAATCAATAATTATGCACCAAAATTACAAATAATAGGTACAATCAGAAGAACTTGTTGATCATATAGCTTTCTTCAACGCCTTCCAGTTTAAAAAAAAAACTAAAAATTATTTTATTTAAGAATAAATGATCAAAGTTTGAACTTAACTAAAATTAGACAAAAAAGTGATTATAATAATTTTATAACTTTCCAATCACTCTGAATTCCGTAAGAACACGATGTACCTATTGGTTATATATCAGAAAATATGTTATATTAAATAAGGTTTCATGTTATTAAATAAATTATATAAAGATATTGAAGAAAAACTGAAAAAAATAATATTTTTCTAAAAACAAAGAACCATCATAGTTCTGTTTATAGGATAACTATTTTCAGCGAAAACTTAACGCAACTTGTTACAGTTTATTTTTTCCGTTATGTGAACCGTCTTAATAATTACTAATTTTAAACAATTATAGGTATACCTATACTGCAATGGCAAATAATTTACGATGCGAAAGCGACCGTTTAACCAAAACTTGGTCAGAAAATAATGACGTAGTTATTGTACCCAAACTACAAACATATAATTATCCATGTAAAAAAAAAATATTGTCAATACTTATTATAACACACGGTAACATTTATTTTGTGCAGGCAGGATGTTGTGTGTGGTGTCTACGGCGTTCATACTCGCAGTACTCCGGATTTCCGATGGTCAGCTGCATGAGCCGCAGAAAGAAGATCTTCTGCAACGATATGAAGATGTACAGCGACAGATGAACGGCAGCGGAAGTGGYGAATGGAAGTGCCCAGAGGTGCGGAACGTGTCGTGCGCATGCGATYTGCCACACACGTTACGCTGCACCGGCGGCAAATCGACATTCGAGACAGTGGCCCGAGCGCTCAGGCGCCTGTCCGGCACGTCATCCATATCGCTTCTGGACTGCACCGTGCAGAACGTAGCATCGCTGCCGGCCAAGATGCTCGACGGCGTCTCGCTGCACGGGCTGGTCGTGTCGTCTGGCGAGATCAAGTCCGTCTCGGACGCCGCATTCGACGGACTCGGGTCACCACTCCAGGCGCTCGGCCTGCCCAACAACCAGCTCGAGCGGGTCCCAAGCTCAGCACTGGCCATGCTCAATGGTCTCGAGCGTCTCGACCTGTCCCACAACCGTTTGCACACCGTCCACAACAATTCGTTCAAGGTATAATAATTATGATGATAATGTTTACCGGTAATCCATCTTCTTATAATTCGTGGGATATTTTTCCAACACTTAATAAATAGTAGTTATAGGTCCTATAATACATTCTCTAATACAAAAATGGTCACTTAACATATTACAAAAAAAGCTCTTATAGAACTTAAATAAAGTAAATGATTACGAAAATCTTATAACTTTAAACAACGTAACACAGACCCATTTTAAAAACTAAAAATCTAAAAATGTTATATTGTAAACAATTCAATTTTAAAAAATATCATTCAGTATTATTTTTTATTAAACGCCCACGACATAATTATAATAGATTATGTCATTGGTTATAGTAAGTTAACCAACCAAATATTGCGTAAAGCAACAAAATCTCACTAAAAAAGTAAAAAAGGGTTTAAAAAAAAAAATTATTACAGTGTTTTTTTTTTATTTTAAATGTATATATTACTTATAATAACTATATTATACGAACATAACGTGGACGCAAACATGGTGTACAAAAATTGTACCGGAAGTTGGAAATACTTACGTCCTACACTGCTACACATGCAGGTTTTGATTTACCATATGGTGAACGCTATTACAGCCTGCAGGTTAATAGGTATGGACATTGTGCCTGGGTAAATAATATGTCCACGTAGTCAGTTGATGTTTTTTTTTATGTTAAAGCTATATATAGAATATATARAATGTAGAGTACCTATACCTATAGTATGCGGGCGCATAAATCGTAACTAAAAGATCATTTTTTTTATGGGATAACCCTTATTTTGTTCTTCGTTTGAAATTCCTATACATTCTATAATCAATTAATTAACAAAAGCCAAAAGGGTACCTGGTACCTATTACCTATATRTTGTCATTAATGTCATTCTTTAATAAATTGACAAAATTTCTTTCAATATTTAGAATGGCTGAACTTGAGAAAATCTTGTAGCATATACTAGTTTTTAGTCAATTTGTTACGCCTTATTGAAGAAAACATTTTCATTTTTCGTAACTTATTGACCAATATATTATATCTAGGCGAAGGGGKTAAGAAAATATTTGAAAGGTTGCACCTATATTGTGGGCGTAATAAATGAAAAAAGCATTGACATTATTAATAAATAAATAGTCTCTATATGTATGTGRACGAGTATGAGTGTATATGACTCACGTCCGTGACATTGAGCACGTAATATTATATAATAATATGTTTGTTATGTTTCGTAAAAGTGTGTGCTTATTAAGCGAGTAGTTCCGATAGATATACAAAATGTTGCGAGGAGAAATCGGGTTAACTTAATAATTAATTAAAATTTGTTCATAGGTAGTAATTATAAACTATATTACGCTTGACAAAATATACGGTTACATAATATTAAGAATGTTCGTAATTATGTAAATTATAAAAACAATGGAATTTATAGCTTAGGCCTTAGACTATAGATCTWGGTAATCACTTACCATACATTTATTTTCTTAATTGCAGGGATCGCCGAATTTGACATTTTTGGATTTGAGCAATAATTCCATTCATTTCATCAGTCCAGACGCGTTCGTTAATCTGCCATTTTTGAAAGTACTTCGACTGCAAAACAATCTGCTTACGTCAGCTTCGACTTCCCATATCCAAGGGCTGCGGTCGTTAGTCGAGCTAGACCTCAGCTCCAATTTGCTGGCCGGTCAACTTGGCCCCAGCACGTTGCCTAGATTGCCGAATTTACAGATCATATCGTTGGCGCATAATCAGCTGAACAGCGTTAGGCGGGGATCATTTGCCGGACTCGAAGGAATCGTGTCCCTGACGCTTAACCACAATCAGATCGACGTACTCGAGGATCACGGTTTTAGAGCAGTGCCTACACTGTCCCATTTGGATTTGGCCAACAATCGCATCGTTGCGGTGTCCAGTGCTTCACTCGCTCATTTGACCAAACTCAAAACGCTTGAYTTATCACACAACTTTCTGAGGAGTTTGACGTCTGATCTCATCGTGCCACTAAAGAGCATCCAAGTAATTAAACTCGACGACAACGACATATCCATCGTGACCGAAGGCGCACTGAACACCGGCAAGCACATAACGAGCATTTCTTTATCAGGTATAACCGAAATCAATTGAATATACTCGTAAAATAATAGCCACGAGCATATAGCTGCAATGCATTATTTATTGATAAAATCATCGTGAATGAGTAACGACATTAGGTACCAACGTTTTTATTTATGCTTATAATACAATAGTTAACATAATACAAYAATTATTAACTTTACCCGTGTGCCTACATTTTTATACAATTCATATAATAAGCATTTTAATTTGTAATAATGTATACATGCTCATAACTCATAAGTCATAACCAACATAAAATATTAAAATATCGTAGAATAAGTAACATAGGGACACAGGTAATATTCTTAATTTAAAGTTTGAAAAAAGGTGAATTCTYTTTAGTATTAAAATTAATAACAYAGGGTTGGTCTGTGGGTCAGAAAAAAAAACAAACAGTGCGCTGACATCCTCTTAGTAATAGCTATCGCACTCTCATACCATATATGTATAATAGGTTTACCTAATATTTATGGGGCGATTGTAAACTCCACCGATTTTCAGGTAGTCGATTTTAGGGTTGGATTTATGACATGTAAATTCCACCGATTTTTACCTGAAAAAAAAATGTAAATTCCATATAAAAATCTAAATATACATATCACTTTACAAAAGCTCTATTTGATATTCAATAATTATTATATTATTTATATTAATATTGTGTAAAAAAGATATAAGTATCTGAATATATATATATAAGTAATAAACCTGTACATAAATTACGTAGGTACGTATTACGTAATGTTAATAATTATATATTTTTATATTATTTCTATTTGATTTTTATATGATTTTTTTTAAATTATTGTATTTAAATACAATAAATTTATTATAATTAGGGCCTGGATTTAAATGTA